TCTTTCCCTTGACTTCACCATTACTGCTCAGCCTTTCTTAGTAGAAGTCATGCTCTACTTTCACAGACTCCGCTTTGTACCATAAAGCAGGACGTTAGAATCCTGGGCTGTTATCCCCATCTATGAAAACCTTCCAGCATAGGGCCCACACTCAACACTACCAGGTAGAGTACCCCTCCTCTTGTCAGTAGTGGGTCCCAGTAAGGACCCATTCATTGATGCCTGCCTCCCAGATTGTGCTCAAAGTTCAAAATAATGACATTGTTCATAAGTGACAACTGAGGTAGCTAGACACTTGGCCACCTTCTTTCAGCCTGTGGCTCCTTAAAGCTCAACCCAGATGTTTTGAATTTCACCAACTTAGGGTTGCCCTGCCTGTAATTTTCCTCAAGCTGTTAGCTTTTGAAGGCAGAGACCAAGGGAGGTGTTTAGCCCACTGCTAACTTCTGTTCCCCCTTAATTTGGACCAGTGTTGACAAAGCAGCTGATAATTTGGTACTGAAACCTTTTACTTGGCTCTGAGAAGCCTCATAAATGCTCCCTAGACCCAGGGGGTTTCTGAGAGCAGCAGCTGGCATCCCAGCTTGCTGTTCAGTCCTCCGGCCTCATGCAAATAGCACAGCAGGAATGTAAACTCCTTTCTGGGGCTTACATGAGTTCTTTGAGAGTTAGATAAGACTAGGGACTATTTTTCTGTTTATTTGCACCAGAACACACATTTATAGCAAGAAAAGTTGCCAAGCCTTGAAAAGGATTCGAATTATTTCATCAGCCTTAAAAGAGCCTACTTAGTGGTGTTTGGATTGGCTAATGGATTTTAATCTTGGCTTCATCCCAAATCCATAGACAGTCACCAAATTGTAGGGAAGAATACTGGGAACCTCTCCCCCAGCCTGAAGAACGTTATGTTGTTGTGAGGTGAGAACCCTGAGACTGGGCTCATTTGTGTGGTTCCAGATTCTTAGTTCATTGTCTTTAAAGCAGGGCCTCCAGAGAGACTCCTGAGACCAGGGTTTCCATGGAGACTCCTGAGGCTCACTATGGCACTGAACCCCTCGTCATCTGCCCTGAAAGGTGTACTCAATGCTGGGGGCCAGCTTTGCCTATTCAAGGTCTTGATCAATTCAACAAAACATAGATTCGAATTCCAGCTCTGGCCCCTCTAGTAGTGTAGCACCAACTCAATTAACTAGCATTTGGGATAATTAGCATTTGCGAGCACCAAACTGTAGTACTAGTATCTATCTCCCTTCTAGATGAGTGTGGAAACATCTTATAAGACTATGGCTGGGCTGGGCTTTGGTGGTGCATGCCTTTAATCCCAGCACTCGGGAGGCAGAGGCAGGCGGATCTCTGTATGTTTGAAGCCAGCCTGGTCTACAAAGTGAGTGCCAGGATAGGCTCCAAAGCCACAGAGAAACCCTGCCTCGAAAAACAAACAAACTATGGCTGTTCAGTGTTGATCAAAATCATCATAAACACATTTGTGTGTATAAAAAGGATGGATGAACTCTTATGCATACTTATTTAGCTACACACACACACACACACACACACACACACACACACACACAGCGCACACACTCACCTTCTCCAAACTTAATTAATGTCTAAACTATGTTTATGGCCTGATGATGTGAATAAGCAACCAGGCATTTTGAAAGTTGTGGTCTTCACATTTGCAGTGGATTGTAAAGGAGGCTTGGGTGCCTTGTAATAAAGTGGAGGGAAGCTTCTGGAGTCCTTATTGAACCTCACATACTACACTTTGTGCTTTAATTCATTCTTAATTTATTTGCACACAATAGCACAATGATGTCATAGTCACCATGAACCTGGCCCCAGTTACACATTAACCAAAGGGAAACCTGGGCTTTGAACCTGAATCAGTCAGGCCAGCGTCTCCTCTGTCCTCCTCACACCTGCACCCGGCTTCCAGGATGTCTGCCTCCCAGATTACGCTCAGCATGTCAATGTAGTGACAGTTATTGGTTCTTAAATCCTAATTCAGATTTCTGTCTGATTATCAGACTCCTGTGACAAAGGATTTAGGCTAATATGTCATAGGTGTGCTTAGAATTCTGAAATACCTACATTTTGAATTCATAAAAAAAAAGAGGGAGGAGGAGGAGGAAGAAGAAGAGGAAGAAGAAGAAAAGGAAGAAGAGGAAGAAGAAAAGGAAGAAGAAGAAAAGGAAGAAGAAGAGGAAGAGGAAGAGGAAGAGGAAGAAGAAGAAGAAGAAGAAGAAGAAGAAGAAGAAGAAGAAGAAGAAGAAGAAGAAGAAGAAGAAGAAGAAGAAAGAAGAAAGAAGAAGATGACGACTTCTGGTCTCCAACTCCCACCCCTCTCTAATTTTCTCCCTTGTTGCAAACAAAACCATGCAGAGTGCCCCAAGCTCCTGGTCTCCATTACCCTTTCCTACTTGGTGCCAGTGAGTGGTGAAGTGAAATGGCCACCCAGTGAGCAGAGAAGCAGGGCCTGCATTGTCCTCAGAATGGATTATTGCCCCATAAACAGCACAACACACTGGCATTGGCAGAGGCTGCAGTGAGGCTGGCATGGCCCCCAAACCAGGCACGGGCCCCTCTGTGGCAGAGGAGGAAGTCTATGCCCTGCTTCCCAAGTGGCCATTCCAGGAAGGAGTCAGATGACTTGAATTATGGAAACCAAATGGCCCTCCTTTGTTTAGCGAGAGAGGGAAAAAAGCCACTCATTTTTGTGGTAAAGTGAAAACAGGCTCCAAACCAAACAGTCCCTCTCAAAGCAGAAAATGCCAGCTCTACAGAGCTAGGCCACAGCCTCCCAGCCTGGGTTCAACCTCAGGGACATCAGAGCTGTACCCCAAGCAGCCACAGCTCTCCATCCTTCTGTCTGCTTTGCCCCAGAAATATTTGGTCTCTCAACCAGGAAAGGAAGATGAAAAGAGGAGGAGAATTAAAAATGTCCTGCTGCCAAGACCGAGGTCTGCCTCCTGCTTCCCGCCCCTTGCCCCTTGTTTGCTAGGACAGGGAGATGAGACAGAAGCTCACAGGACCAGTGTGTGGAGCCCTTGCAGGGCACTGCTATGGCCACCTCAGAAGCCCTCCCGCTCTAACCGTTCATGGCATGCAGCCTAGAGTCACAAGGCCACTTTGGGGCTGCCTGTGGCTCTGTGGGTGGGGCTGCACCATGGGTACTGTGTGCAAAAGTTGTGGATAAACCACAGCCACAAGGAAATAAGTACAGGTTCTAGTCAGCCATGCCTGGCAGTTTGGCTTCTTCCTTCATACGGACTTCCCTAGAGCTGGAAGTCTCTCCGTGAGGACAGGATGCTGCAGAGTTTAGGTCTGAGCTTAGCTTTGCTTCTATTGCTGTGCAGACAAGACGGTACCCTGTCTTTCTGAACCTCCATTTTTGCATCTGAAAAATGATCCTGGGATGGGGAAGGTGGCTCCACAGAAGCATGAATCCCTAAGCATCCATATAAGAAACAGAAATAAATAGCTGGGCACAGCAACATGTGCCTATCATCAATCCCAACACTGGGGACGTAGAGCCAAGAGGATAACCAAGGCTGGCCAGACAGCCTTACTGAATTAGGAAGATCCAGGTTCACTGAGAAAACCCATCTCAAAAACTAAAATGGAGAGCCATAGAGGAAGACAAGACACACACACACAACAGCAGTAGGGGAGAAAACCCAAGATCCCTTCCTGCCTTGGTTCCCTAGGATGTCACTAGCAGAGTGCTATCAAGGTGGCAAGCAGCTTATTTATTGTCTAGGCTCCTAGACCCTGCAGCCATCCGCCTGCATGCCATCCATGAAGGAAACAGTGATTCAGCTAGCCTGGCGAGTCAGAGCTCCTGGGATCCATCTGTCTCTACCTCCTCAGCACTGAGATTTCAAGTACCTACCACCCTGCCTGACTTTTATGTGGATGCAGGGAATCTCAACTTGGGACCTCATGCTTGCACAACAGTACTTGATCACTAGCTGTCTTCAAAAGGGCTGTACTTTGTACTAAAGATGAGTGTATTGAGTAACTTTCTCCTACAGTCTCTACAATGCACGCTGACCTTCTACCCTAGGGCTGAATCCTTGCTCATGCCAGGACCCACCTCTTCTTAGTTCCCCAATTTCCCCAATAAAGCACAACTGTTGTTTAGATTTTCCTGAAACCTGACCACAGGGTCATGGAAAGGAAGCTGCCTGTCTTCTCAAACCCAAGGATTCTTGGGTGTGCCTGCTTTTGTTTGCTGGCACATTTTCTCTCTGAAGATGGCCTCTCTCAAACTGGATAGAGATGTGCGTCTCCTTAGCACCCCTCAGCTAGCTCTAGGAGGAAAGGAAACTCAAACTATGTTGAAGGGCTGTCTCAGCTGGACATGGGTCCAGGAGACTAGCATCAGGAAGGAGGCCTTGAGTTCTCATCTAGTGGATGTTGCTATTCATGTCAGGGTGCTACTGTGTGTGGGGGGGATGTCTAGCGCATATGTCAGCTTTCTGCTGCTCTGACAAATACACAAGATAAACAAGGACGACAATTGTTTCTTAGAAATTTCAGTCAATAGAATTGGAAGGTGGTGAGGAAGAAAGTTCCTCACCTCTTGTCAGTCAGGGAGGGGGTGGGATATGGGGCAGAGATAGATAGATAGATAGATAGATAGATAGATAGATAGATAGATAGATAGATAGATAAAGAGAGAAGAGAGAGAAATGGAGATAGGGAGTACACTACCAGAAAGAGGAGAGAGCTACCAGGAGGGCTAGGGCAATATCTAGCCTTAGCCACAGCCCCTCAGTGACTACTTCTCCAGCTGAGTCCCCACCCCCACCAGCATGGTACTTGGTTTCAACAGTAAGCCCTCAGGGGACATTTCATATTCCAGCCATAACTCGGCGCAAGAGGAATTTTTGTTTCACACAGTTCTCTGTTTTCATCAGGTCCCTCTTGACTTGGTTGATGACCTCCAAAGATACAGAATTGGAAAACATAACCTTGTGACTTCCTTTTTTCAGATGAGAAGCCCTTTGCTGTGGAAGACACTTACTTGCTGTGCCCAGCACCCATCTTGAAAGAAGTTGGCATGTAAGTTTTCATCAGCCACAGAGTTCTACAGCCAGGGAAGAGTTGGCAGAGGGGATAGAGGGGCAGCAAAATCTTCTGTCGTTGTCATCATGGAATCTTTCTCTGGATTCTGCCAATGACGATGGTGACAAAGCTATGGCAAAGCAGCCACCAGGAGGGTGATTGGACATTCCTTTCATCCTCTGTAGTTCACAACAAAGGAGACACTTCCATTCAGACCAACTAGAAGGATTTGAATACCTTGCTCAGGGTCACACAGCAGCCAGTGAAAGAGTCTGAGCTCAAGCCTGGGTCTGCTGACTCAACCCCAACCACATTTCTAGAAAGTTCTCACATGCATTACCTCACCCTGTCATCATCTGTGTCTTGGAAAGTGGCTGTTATCTGCTCCTTCAAGACAAGGAAACAGAAAGGCAAAATAAATGCCATGTTTGGTTCATGACCTTCAGCACCACTCTCAATCCTCCACAGGGCCTCAGTGTTCACCTATGTTCCCTGATCTCATAGGGACATCTCATGATGCTATTAAAATAAGTGCTGGAGAGATGGCCATGAAAGAGAGTCAACACCTTGAACTAGGGTAGGACTATGGGGCCCAGAGAGCCCAGACTGTTACAGAGAACAAAACCATGCCTACCAGTCTGGAGATGGCTTCCAAGGAAAACATTCAAGTCTTCTTTCATCATTTGTTCCAACTGGGTATCTGCAGTCAGTTCATGACACTGGGGCCTGCTACCCAGCCCAAAATCATATAGTGTGACATGAGTTTTTATCTCAGTGAGACTTGATAGACAGAAGCCTAGAGAAGACAAATGAATCTGTCCACAGCTGTATATCCATGAATCTTACAGGGCCCATAATCCTGTCTCATCAGACCACAGAGTCCACATTAACAAGAGCTGAACATGCAGCCTACAGTTTGTCCAATTATCCCTATTGACTTGAGTGGCTCTTAAGAATGCTTTATCTAACAGGATATGGTAGCACACAACTTTAATCCCAGAACTCAGGAGGCAGAGGCAAGTGGATCTCTAAGTTCAAGGTTACCCTGCTCTCCAGTGCTGCGTTCCAAGACAGCCAGGGCTTGACAGACAAACCTTGTCTGGAAGGAAGGAAACAGGGAAGGAAAGAAGGAAGCAAACTTTATCTTATCACAAAGTATAGCAAACAGGTCAAATAGAGACAGGCTTTCCTTGTCCATTGCAGTTCACTGCAACACAAAGTTAACATCTGCCTTGACCCATCAGCTGAGCACATCCCAGTATCTCGGGGATGTCACAGGTGTGTGGCCCTGAGAGACTGTCCTCTCCATGCTGCAAGGAAGACTCTCAGGCCCCACAGGGAAGTAAACAAGCTCTGTCTGGCTCTCAAGCGGTTGCTAAGTGCATCTGGTTCTCTTGTCATTGCAGGAAAGCTGCACTGCAGGTCAGCATGAATGATGGCTTGTCTTTCATCTCCAGTTCCGTCATCATCACCACCACACACTGTGTAAGTGAGAACCTCTCACCTCATCACCATTATCTTTTCAACTGTTCTTCCCAAACCCCAGCCTTCTCCAATGTCAAACATGAAGTGTTTTCTGATTCTTTGTTCTGTCCACTGAGCCCTGATGCCAATTGGGTTGGGTGTGGTTTACTGTGGATCAGTGACACATGTGTTAGGTCCTCAGGCTCTCTGTCCCAGGTATTGAGGAGGAGCCCTGATTGTATTGGCCTGCACAGGTGATATGATTGGCTGTAGTGAGGGTAGGCCCCAGGTCAGATACACATGACCAGGGAGACAGGAAGGAATTAGGCAACATAGAAAAATGTATCTTAACGACTTTTGGTGTTTTGCTTTGTGTTGTTTTAAGGAGCAGCAAATGGGTACCAGCTAAAGAAAGGTATAGAATGTATAGAGGACCTATTATTTAAGGATGGGGAAAAAAATCGAAACTTGGCTATGTGATTGTGGAAATAAACTAGGGGAAAATGGAAAACCAATGAAGCCAGAGAGAGAGATTAAAGAGGCACAAAGTATTCTCTGCTGGCTCCTACAACATGGATCCTCCTGTCAGGCAGTTTTCATTTCTGGATACCCTAAAGTCACCCGAGAAGCTGGTTTTTGTTGTTTTATGTGATGCCCAATAAATCAAATATGTATTTTTAAAATAGAGGGAGTGTGACACCTTCACCTCATGCTACACTGACTGAGCATGAGCCCTGGTGTTGGTGAACCCAAAGCCTTCTGAGAAGATAATTAGGGGAAGGGAGACTTGACAAGGAACACTTGGGCCTATGAAGTCCCTCTGACCAGGGTCATTGTCTCAAAGCTCAGCCTCCCTGGGCAGTTGGGGCTCAGTTCACTCATCCTAAGAACCCATCCCCCAATAGGAGTGTTTCTAATACCACCTATATTTGTATATTTTCTTTCTTTAACTAAGTGCATGCCCTCCTTTAGATCTTTCTAACAATGAAGGAAGCCAGTGAGTATATTTAAAAAAGGTCCTTCCTGGTTAGCCATTGGAAAACATGTTGATAGAACTCTTTAGTAATTGATGTTGTGTCCTTAGTAATGTCTCAGGTAGATGAGAGATAGCATTTTTCCAAGGTAAAAATGATTTGCCTTGTAAATGCACAGGAAGCCGAGTTTCATGAGGGACATGACTGTCCTTCTTAATTCTGCTTAGACACACTCTCCACCCTGTGGAGTTAATAATTACTGTGTCTGACCACACCACAGACAAATAGTTATGCCCTTGAGACCACAGGGACAAGGGAAGTTGACCTAGCTTGTAGTATGGAAATACAAGACTACTAATTTAAATTTGAGTCTCTGAAGAAGAAAGGGCGGCCTTATCAATATTTTGCAAGGTTTAAATAATTCCCAGGAAAGGTCCAATGTATCTTCTCAACTCACTCCAACCTCCATCTACACCTCATAATGCCTTTGTTGGAGTATGTCACCAAGTTTCCTGTTCAATAGACTCTTGATTAAAGCTACCTTCCATTATATTCTGCATTGTTTCCTTTTCACTTGTTTTATTAGTCTATAAGAAAATTATCACCACCCTAATATTTGAGATACAAGTCCATTGTTCACTACTCAACAAACAGTTGTTGATCATAAGATGTTCCCTCCTAGGTACTTAGTAGACAGAGGGTGGGGGATACACAATGAGCAATAAAGAGAAAAAATGATTCCATGCTGTGTTAAAACAATATACATGATAGGGAAAAACTAAATAAGAGAGTTTGGTACTGTCTCGGTAAGCAGGCAGGCGCCAGTGTAAACACTAAAGGGGACACACTGAGAAGGTGGCATTTGAGTAGAGCCCTGGATAGTGAGGAAGTTAACTGTGAGGCCGCAGGAGGGTTGAGGAGAGTGGAAAGTTCCAAACCAAGAGCCCTAGTGCTAAGACCCTCAGGTCAGAGACCTCTGACATCTAAGGCAAATTGAGAAAGCTAGCAGCAGGTCTCTGCAAGGGATTAGATGAAGACAGCCACAGTCAGTGAGGTGACCAGGGACAGAGGATGTGGACCTTGTGAGAACTTGGGCTTTGGAGGAGGGGAGCTGTAAGGTCTGACTTGCATTTGAAAGCCCACTCTATGGAGCTAGCCAATGGGCAGACTGGGCATGGCTGTTAAGGAAAGTTCTGTATTGACTCAGTGGCATGGGAAGGAAGCCAATGGGTTTCCTGAAATGTTGAATATGAAACTCGAGAAAAGAAGGATCAGGATGTCCCCAAGAGCCAGACTTTGTATCTGACAGGATGGCATGACTGGAAGGAGGAAAGCTGAGGAGATGACCAGGGGTGAGGGGAAATCAGGACATCCGTTTTTCTGGTTACTCATTGTATAGCCTTGACTAGGTTTTCTATCCCTCTTGTACTTCTGTTTCCCAACAAAGAAAAAGAAGATGGTTAAGAGTTTACACATTGACACTATTGCTAGTGTTAAACAGATGATCTCAGTAATGTGCAGAAGGCCTGGCAGTTAGTCAGCACTCAGTGTTTACCATGGAAGCTTAAACAAACCTTTGGAGCTAGCTGGGTGCAGTGGTGAATGCCTGTAACCCAGCTCTCTGGAGACTTAGGCAGGAGGATCTTGAGTTCAGAGTCAACCTAAATCACACATACAGTGTGGACTAACTGATTCTCTTTAGAGAATTGGGTCCCCTATCTTGGGTTCCATGGTAACAGAGGGACTCTTTGGAGAAAAGATACCTCTGTGTTGTACATGCTTGTCATCCAACACACTTATGTGGTAGGAAGGAGACAAATAAGATGGCTAAAATCTCCCATTCCAAACACGGAGCTCCAATCCCCCCAGGCCCAAGAAAAAGCTCAGATTAAACACTAAAACTGCCTGAGGCAAAGCAGAGATTCAATGGAAGGTGGAAGGCGTGGTCATCCAGGGCTGACCAAGTCTCAGGCTAGTGTTTGTCTGGAGGACATGGTTTTTAGATCAGAATGGTCCCTGGGGCCTGAGCAAAGGGTTAGCCCTGCCTGTGCCTGTCACAGCCTGCCCAGCCTGTCACCTGGAAGCAAAACTCATTTTAAAATATGAAGCTAAGATTTTTCTCACTTTATTTGGTGCCCATTTGGACAAGTGTGCCCCAGCATTTCAAGAGCCACCATGAATAACCAGTGCCCTGGCTAGAAGCAGAAATTCCATGCAGTTTTACAGGATAGAGATTTTTTTCCACTTAGCACTAAAAGAGTCTACACTCAGGGTGAACCTGGCAGAGTTGCTCCGCTATAGAAAGTGCCAGCATTCAGTCCCTTCCCCAGCATTTCCAACACACCTCAGCTGGGTTGTCTACCTAGACACCCTTCCCTCCCCAAACTGTAGCCTAAGGCTGAAGGGGAAAAAAAAGTACTGATTTGGTACAGTACAAAGCAAGTTTTGGGACTTTGAGGAGCTTTCCTTGAAGGTCATCTTCTTTTAAATAAATAGTAAAACTCCATCATGTTTTGCCCAAAGAGGACAGAATCCAGGATGTTGTTCAACCAGCATTTCTTAAACGCTTACTAAGTATCCAATATCCAATCCACAAAGTTGCTGTTGGAGGAAGGAGCCCACCAGGCTTGTGAATAATGACAAATGAGGATGGGATGGGGGTGGAAGATGGCTCAGTCAGTCAGTGCTTGAGTTTGATCCCTACAACCCACCTTTAAAAGGCTGGGCTCCATAGTGCACACTTACATTCCCAGCTGGGGGAGATGGAGACAGGCAGACCCCTCAGGATCACTCACCAGCCAGCTTGGCCTAATTTGCAAGTCCCAGGACAACGAGAGGCACTTTCAAAAAGGATGAAGTGGACAGCACCTGAGAAATGGCAGCCGAGAGTGTCCTCTGGGCTCTGTACATACCCACACATGGGTGTATACACAGAGAAAACAGGGTTGCATGTGTCAGGTGTAAATGCTGTAGGATTTCTGAAAGGATGAAGTAAGAGGGCCAAAAAGTCATGAAATGTCCATGGAGGAGGCAATGCCACAGTGGTGATGGGCAGAGAGGCTCTGCTCCGAGGAAGACAGCCTTTGCAAGGGCTCGGGGCCCCTGGCAGATCTGCAGCTTGTGTTTTTCCCTCTGCTTCTGTTTCTATGACTGATGCCTTTTTATTGAGGCCATTTCTTAGTTTTACATCGGCTCCTTCCCAGGACACACACTCACCCTTGGTCTTGCCACCTAGTAAATGACACAAGACCAGATTCACTTTGAGCACACTGTGAAGGTTTGTTTGCCTTTCTTACCAGGGTTGTAAAAATCACAATCTTTAAGGAAAAGTGGGAAACAAAATTATACCTAAGGCTCTAAGTCTAATTTGCCACTAAATAAATGGAGAATACGCTTTCATTTTCTCCCAGTTTATATGCAAAAGAGCCTAGCTATAAACAGTAATTAATAATTCAAAAGAATCCCATGTGGTGTCACTGGTCAGATAAATTGTTTTTAATGAAAAAAATTCAATCATCTCCAGCTTGAGGCATCAAAGCAAGAAACCCTGTGTGTTGTGGGTGTGGCATGATGTACTGTGATTAGGAACAATGGAGGGATTCATTCGGGCTACTGAGTCAGTGAGTTAGAAGACCGGCCTCCAAGGTCAGGCATGGTGATGCACACTAGTCATCCCAGCCCTCGTGAGACTGAGGCAGAAGGGTCAGGAGTTCAAGATCATCCTTGGTTACGGAATGAGTTCAAGGCCAACCTAAGCTACGTGAGGACATGTTTAAAACAAAACAAACAAAAAACCCCAGCCCCCACCACTCTGGAGTGTGATCAGGGCAGGTAATCTGTCTGTTTTCAGACCTCACATTGTACAGCTGTCATCGGGATAAAGGTAACATGTTTAAGGGACTGGAAGCCACGATCACCTATCAAAGAATGAAGGCTTCATTAGTTCATTGGCATATCTCTCTAACCCCCTTACAGACTCTGCTGCACAGGCCCCATGGCAGTTTCTTCTCCTCCTGATAAAGAGGCACGATCCCTCTTGTGGTGTAA